GGCACAGCAAGAAGAAGAAGGTGTCCTCTGTGAATCAGGAAGCTGGGCCCTCACCAGACATAGAATCTGCCAGCACCTTGACCTTGGACTTCCCCGCCTCCAGAACTGTGAGAATAAACTTCTGTTGTTTGTAAGCCACCCACACTGTATCAAGAATATAATTTATCCACAGATTATTTCCTGAGGTGTACAAGGCCCAGAAATATCATAATGTTAGCTTATTTATTTAGTTAAACAAAAGCTTTTTGGCATACATACATGTATAACACATTATACTAGGAGAAAAAAAATGTAACAAAATGCCATTCTGAAGAATAAGTGGGGAAGATTACTAGGTACATATATAAATATGAAATGCTGTGGTAAGAGTTGGGATACAGGGGTGTGATATAGGAAACATGAGGAAGAGCGGTGGATCTCTGAGTGCTAAAAGGATGAGTTACATTTGCTCAAGTCAAGTGGGAAGGGAAGGAATTCCCAACATTGACCAGAGACATGAAGATCTGGAGGCAAAGGAGATGATGAAATGTCCCAGAATTTGCCCACAACTCATAGGACCATCTCCACCCCAACCCCACCCCAGACTCTAACATTTCTGTAATGTCGAAATTATGGAATGAGAGCTTTAGAATACCTCTCAGAGGTGATCCTGTTCAAGCTAGCCCACCAGTTGTTTTGTTGATGAAGCACCCAAGTTCCAGAGAGGTTCAGTAACCTGGCCAAAGTCACAAGGGTGATGAACAGCAGGTTTAGATATAGCACACCTGGCCTGGATCTTTAAGTCTAGGATTCATAACTCCATGCCTGCCCCACAAATCAGTTCCCAGGAGAGATGATCTCATGGGGCACCTACTGCCTGGGTGATTCTTAAAGAAGAGTTTGTGAGGCAGGACCCAGGCAATCTCAGCTTTTACCTTGATGATACTATTGGTAGGAAAGGAGAGAGAACATGAGCTGCCTGAATTAGAGGAGTCTGTAGTTGATACTATTAAAAGTAAACTTTAGGCCAGGCACAGTGTCTCATGCCTATAATCCTAGCACTTTGGGAGGCCGAGGCGGCCAGATCACTTGAGGTCAGAAGTTCAAGACCAGCCTGGCGAACATTGTGAGACCCTGTCTCTATATAAAAAGTAGCCAGATGTGGTGGCACATGCCTGTAATCCCAGCTGCTCAAGAGGTTGAGACAGGAGAATCACTGAAACCCAGGAGGCAGAGGTTGGTTGCAGTGAGCCGAGACCGTGCCACTGCCCTCCAGCCTGGGTGACAGAATAAGAATCCATCTCAGGAAAAGAAAGAAAGAAAGAGAGAGGGAGAGAGAGAATATGAATCTCATCTTTTTCGTATGTATGATTTGGTTTGTTTTCTACCAGTTTTCCATAGATGTGATCATCTTGAACAGCATACGACTTCAGGTATTGAGGGAAAAGTGTATTTATTGTGCAAATACATAATGCATTCCCATTTCAGAAAATCTGGCAAATGTTCTCTAGTTCCACAGATGTTTTCTGAGCCCCTGCCATGTTCCAGCTGCTAATCTGGGTGGTAGAAATTACCCATCAGACTACCCAGGAGTAACCACTGTAAATATTCTTTCAGTCTTAAAATCGCTCTTCCTAATATGTCAGGAGGGCACATGGGTGTATGTGCGCTGCTGTGTGTGTTGTTTTTAACTTGCCTTTGTCCCTTACCATTGCAACATAAGCATTCGTTCTTGTTAGTATAAGACATTTATAAATATCATTCACATGGCTGTATAAAAGTCCATCAAATATCATGGTTTATTCAAGTATTTTCCTATTTATGAAAGATTCCAGTTCTTTTCAGTTTTTCTGCATTACAGATAACACTGCAGAAAAATACTGTTTTGTAAAACCCATTTGGGAGGTAGACGTTGCAATGAGCTAAGATTGCATCATTGCACTCCAGCCTGGGTGACAGAATGAGACAGTCTCAAAAAAAATTTTTTTTAACATATAAAAGAATAAAATAGTTGACAATGGCAATAAAAGGAAAATAAGGGCAGTAAAGTAATAAAGCCCCAGGTGAGACGAGCACAGTAATGCGCAGTAGGGTCCTCTACAGTTTCTGCAGACAGGCTCACATTTGACTGGAAGCTTCCAGCTGTCATATCACAGAAGGAAACAGCAGATCCCAGATTAACAAATCATAATACACAAATAAGCCACATGTTCAGAAACTGCTGAGTTGTTCTGAGATACATGTGATTAACTCATGAGCAAAACTTCATCTCTCCACCAGCAGCCCCTTTGACTTAATCCCAGCTGCCCACAGGGTGGGTGCTACCTCAAACCATCTTTCCCTCTGGACTGGAAAAAAAAAATTCCGAGTAGAGTTCACTAGACTCACTGCCTGAGTGTTCTCTCTCCTGGGCAGGACATGTGTTCTTATAAGTTTCAGTCCTTGGTGTGTTCCAAAAAGGACAGCACTGTCTGGCTATGAGTATAATTTGTGTTTATTCTGTTATTTTGAAGGATAGCAGCACCCAATCCTTCCGGGCTCTGTGGGTTCCAAATAATAATATTTAAGGGCCCCGAGGAGCGTATTTCTTTATATCTGGGGAAAAGAAGACCCTTGAAAATGAAAACACATTTCTGCTAATAATTCTGCATTTCTGAAACATTTTATTCAGGTTACCTTCAAATTAGTGGGTGCTGGGGCCCTGAAATATTTTGAAATAAATGTCCTTCATCCTGCCCTTCCTGTTGGCTCGGGATCTATCAGAGGCAGTGGCCCTGTGGGGTCCAAGCTAGGGTGGCCAGAGGATGGAGAAGGAGTCTGCTATGGAAACCTGGCCTCGGGGAGCCCACAGCCTTAGGAAATTAGGGTGAGGCAGGAAATAAGGGTCCTTCTCTGAAGCCTAAGCTGCTCCTCCTTTCCAAGTACAGGAGTTCATGCTCTACCTGAACTTCTATTTCAGCCTAGCTCAAAAGGGCCCAGCTAGCATCATAATGCATACTCCCAGGACAGTCTTGGAGCTGTATTTTCTAGTGGAGGCCAAGCCATCAGGCCCAGGCCTGGTCCCTGGTATTCTCACCTCTGCCCCTCCTCTGGTGAAGGATGCTTGAGGATGGAAGAGGTAGTCTTGTTCACTTGGGAATTGAGGACTCACCTCCTTCCATTGGTCCTTTTCTACCATCACAAAAATATAGATGTTGTGCTGCATGTGCCCACCAACACCCCCTTTTTTGAGATAGGATCTCACTCTGTCACCCAGGCTGGAATGCAGTGGTGCAATCACAGCTCAATGAAGCCTCAACTTCCCTGGACTCAGGTGATCTTCCCATCTCAGCCTCCCAGGTAGCTGGGACCACAGGTGCCCACCAGCACACCCAGCTAATTTTTGTATTTTTAGTAGAGACGGTGTTTCACCATGTTGCCCAGGCTGGTCCCAAATTCCTGGGCTCAAGTGATGCTCCCGTCTTGGCCTCCCAAAGTGTTGGGATTACACACGTGAGCCACCATGCCCTGCTCACTACCATTCTTGAGTGAAAAACCCAGCAGTCTCCCCTGTCAGCTGCCTGGTTTGGAGTTTACCCACAGCACCTGCCCTGACCTGACCACCAGGTGTACAGGTCTCCTGCTACAACCATCCCTCGGCCCCTCATTGCCTCCCAGGTAAACCAAGCCCCATAGTATCCGGCCCAGCAGTCAGGTGTTCACCAACCTTGCCAGCCTTTGTCCTGTCCCTTCTGTCTGAGGGCTTCAGGCTTTGGTCCTGGGAGCCTTGGCCACATTGGCACTCTCACCTACGTTGGGGTTGTTGCTCAATCACACCTATTAGGAATATGTCCTCTCTCCCTTTTCCTCCAAGGCTCAAGTGTAACGCCACCTCCTCTGTGTGCCCCCCTACCCTGTGTGCCCCCCTACCCTCTGCCTCACAGATCTTGCACTGACCCAGTCCTTTCTCCTTATAGGACTGTGACACCCGCATCTTACAGCCTAGGCCATGTGAACCTGTGGTTGACTGGCTCTCTCTCCCATTTAGACCATGAGCCCTTCCCGAGTAGACTCCACCTCTGAATACCCCCAGCGCAAGTGATACATGACAAGTGCCTGCTGACTAAATCTGTTACTACTCATTGTGAGGTGTAACTTCAGGCTACAGTGGCCTTCAGGGGCTGTGAGATGGACTATTTCTGTTACTTTGCTGGGAACAACTACTCAGATTCTCTCTCTCATTTTATGGGCAAGGATCTTTTCCTGTTTCACTGTTCTCATGGCCCTTGGATAAACTCATTTGTGACTCATCCCCCCAAAAGGGCCCGAAGAGCTGTCTTGCGGAGGAGTTTGGAGGAACCTTCTGTTTGTGCATGAGAAGGCTGGGTTTCTCTCATCATCTTGGAGGCCTGTTCTCATCCCAAAGACCTACTCCTAGCCCAGATAAGAGGGAAGTCACTCGTGTCCTGATGAACATGGGGCACCCATCCAGGAGCCCTCTAATGTTACAGGCCGGAGCCCCAGCGCCAGCATTCAGGCCGCCAGCTCTCAACTCGACACCTCGCTCCTGTCAACAGCCTGGCTGATGCCACAGCCCCAGGCCAGAAAACCTTTTTCTCAAGGTTAAAAGTAGCTGACCTTTGACAAGCAGCATTGGCTAAATTCCTTGTTCCTTAAAAAGAAAGCTCCCAGTTATCATTAGCCAGTGTTTACTTGGCCACAGGGCAGGAGCAGGTCCTACACTGCACCCGGTATACCCTGCAGGAGGGTTTGTGGCTGGAGGTGCATTGGCAAAAATTCATTATTAAAATAGCCATCTTTGAAAACTTGTGCTGGAGAGGGGGCAGATCCAGCCTGTCAGCTGGTCTGCACCCCATCCCATGTGGCTAGTCAGCTTGTTGGTTCTCCAGCTCCCTCACAGGCGACAGTGCTACCCACTCCACATGCAGCACACTCCTTCATGTGTGTGCAGCAAGAAAACTGACAGAATGACAAGGACACACACCAACTATTAAATGTCTGGGCTTGTGTTTTTAATGTAGGGGTGACGGTCCAAAGATTGACTTGGCGGGCAGTTCGCTTTCTGGCATCCTGGACAAAGATCTCTCGGACCGCAGCAATGACATCGGTGAGTAAGGATGGTGTTCTCACTTCTCTTTGCAGAGTTAGTAAAGAACTTCACAGCCTGGCTTGCTTTCAACCAGCATGATGAGAACTAACAAAGCCATTGAAATGCCAGGCTGGCACCCTTGCTTGGCTGTAAGTGTTACAGTTTTGTAAAGAAGGGAAATTATCACCATTCTTTTTTTTTTTTTTTTTGAGACGTAGTTTCGCTCTTGTTACCCAGGCTGGAGTGCAATGGTGCAATCTCGGCTCACCGCAACCTCCGCTTCCTGGGATCAGGCAATTCTCCTGCCTCAGCCTCCCGAGTAGCTGGGATTACAGGCACGCGCCACCATGCCCAGCTAATTTTTTGTATTTTTAGTAGAGACGGGGTTTCACCTCGTTGACCAGGATGATCTCGATCTCTTGACCTCGTGATCCACCCGCCTCGGCCTCTCAAAGTGCTGGGATTACAGGGTTGAGCCACCGCGCCTGGCTAAATGATCGTGATTCTAACTGGCGTGAGATGGTTTCTCAATTTGGTTTTGATATCCATTTCTCTAATGACCAATGATGATGAGCATTTTTTCATATGTTTGTTGGCCACATATTTGTCTTCTTTTGAAAAGTGTCTATTCATATCCTTCGCCCACTTTTGAATGGGTTTGTTTGTTTTTTTTTTCTTGTAAATCTGCTTTAGTTCTTTGTAGATTCTGGATATTAGCCCTTTGATCGGTAAACTGTAAAAATTTTTTCCCATTCTGTTGGTTGCCGGTTTACTCTAATGATTGTTTCTTTTGCTGTGCAGAAGCTCTTAAGTTTAATTAGGTCCAATTTGTCTGTTTTGGCTTTCGTTGCCATTGCTTTTGGTGTTTTAGTCATGAAGTCCTTGGCTGTGCCTGTGTCCTGAATGGTTTTGCCTAGGTTTTCTTCTAGGGTTTTTATGATGTTAGTTCTTATGTTTAAATTTTTAATTCATCTGGAGTTAGTTTTTGTATAAGGTGTAAGGAAGGGGTCCAGTTTCAGCTTCCTGCATATGGCTAGCCAGTTTTCCCAACACCATTTATTAAACAGGGAATCCTTTCCCCATTGCTTATTTTTGTCCAGTTTGTCAAAAAACAGATGGTTGTACATGTGTGGCATTGCTTCCAAGGCCTCTGTTGTGTCATTGGTCTATATCTCTGTTTTGGTACCAGTACCATGCTGTTTTGATTACTGTAGCCTTGTAGTATAGTTTGAAGTCAGGTAGAGTGATGCCTCCAGCTTTATTCTTTTTGCTTAGGATTGTCTTGGCTATGTGGGCTCTCTTTTGGTTCCATATGAAGTTTAAGGTAGTTTTTTCCAGTTCTGTGAATAAAGTCAATGGTAGCTTGATGGGGATAGCATTGATTCTATAAATTACTTTGGGCAATATGGTCATTTTCACAATACCGATTCTTCCTAACCATAAGCATGGGATGTTTTTCCATCTGTTTGTGTCCTCTCTTATTTCCTTGAGCAGTGGTTTGTAGTTCTCCTTGAAGACATCTTTTGCCTCCTTTGTTAGTTGTATTCCAGGTATTTTATTCTCTTTGTAGCAGTTGTATATAGGAGTTCATTCTTGATTTGGCTCTCTTTAAGTCTATTATTGGTGTGTAGAAATGCTTGTGATTTTTGCACATTGATTTTGTATCCTGCGACTTTGCCCAAGTTGCTTATCAGCTTAAGGAGGTTTTGGGCTGAGATGATGTGCTCTTCTAAATATATGATCATGTCATCTGCAAATAGGGACAGTTTGACTTCTTCTTTTCCTATTTGAATGCCCTTTATTTCTTTTTCTTGCCTAATTGCTCTGGCTGGAACTTCCAATACTATTTTGAATAGGAGTGGTGAGAGTGGGCATCCTTAAAAAATCTGGAGACAACAGATGCTGGAGAGGATATGGAGAAAAAGGAACACTTTTACACCGTTGGTGGGAGTCTAAATTAGTTCAACCATTGTGGAAGAAAATGTGGCGATTCCTCAAGGATCTAGAAATAGAAATGCCATTTGACCCAGCAATCCAGTTACTGGTTATATACCCAAAGGTTTATCAATCATTCTGTCATAAAGACACATGCACACATATGTTCATTGCAGCACTGTTTACAATAGCAAAGACCTGGAACCAACCCAAATGCCCATCAATGATAGGCTGGACAGGGAAAATGTGGCACATATGCACCATGGAATACTATGCAGCCATAAAAAACGATGAGTTTGTGTCCTTTGCAGAGACATGGATGAACCTAGAAACCATCATTCTCAGCAAACTGACACAAGAACAGAAAGCCAAACACCTCATGTTCTCATTCATAGGGAGGTGATGAACAATGAGAACACTTAGGCACAGGGAAGGGAACAACACTCACAGGGATAGGTGGTGGGGTGGAGGGGAGGGACAGCAGGGGGGCAGGGGCGGGGAGGATGGAGAGGGATAACACTGGGAGAAAGCCCTAATGTAGGTGACGGGGGGCAGGGGAGTGATGGAGATAGCAAACCACCATGGCATGTATGTACCTATGCAACAATCCTGCAGGATGCAGGACGTGTACATGTACCCCAGAGCCCAAATTTAAAAAAAAAAGAAAGAAATGAGATGTGCTAAGCTGAATAATAGTCCCCCAAAGTTATCCATGTCATAATCCCTGGAGTTTGTGAATTTATTACCTTACACGATAAAAGGGACGTTGTACATATGATGGAGTTAAGGATCTTGAGATGGAGAGACTATCCTGGAATTTCTGGGTGGGCCCAATACATTCACAAGGGGGAAGCAGTGTAGTCAGAGAGGAAGTGGTTGGAGGGTGGTCCGATGGCCAGGGCCAAGGAATGCAGGCAGCCACCAGAACTAGGAAAGGTCACAAAACATTCTTGCCTAGGACCTCGAGGAGGAACGAACCCCCGCTGACACCATGATTTCAGTCCACTGAGACTAACCTGAGACTTCTACCCTCCAACCCCATAATGAGATGGGTGATTTGTTACAGTAGCAATAGGAAACTAATACAGACGGCAGGAACCATGAAAACAGTTCTGAGGTTTCGAGAGTTTCCAATATAAACAAAAGGAAGTCGGTTTTGTTTTGTTTGAGATGGAGTCTCGCTCTGTCCCCCAGGCTGGAGTGCAGTGGCTCGATCTTAGCTCACTGCAATCTCCGCCCTCCTGTTATCCAGCAATTCTCCTGCCTCAGCCTCCTAAGTAGCTAGGATTACAGGCATGGAACAACACGACCAGCTAATTTTGTATTTTTTTTAGAGACGGGCTTTCACCATGTTGGTCAGGCTGGTTTAGAACTCCTGACCTAGTGATCTGCCTGCTGTGGCCTCACAAAGTCCTGGGATTACAGGCGTGAGCCACCACGCCCGGCCCAAATAAGTAGTTTTCTATTAAAGCTATTCTGTTACTTGCTGTCCTGAAAATTTTAATAAACAGATTTCTTCTTTAAAAAGAAGAAGAAGGGAAATGATTGTGCTTCGCACATTAAAACACAGTGCTTGGGACTTTTCCCCTCCTTGGCTTTAGGAGAAATTCCTTGCAAGGTCTAATAAAAAGAAATAGTGAATAAGCCTTTTTGTAAAAAGTGGGCATTAGCTCTTATGTTCACAGTTTCCAGTGATTTGTGTATTTTTTGTACAAAGGTGAGTGGGTGCAAATATGAGATGGCAGGGTTCATTGTTGATACAGCACTTTTGACTTTGAGTTTTAAATGAGCTTTGGTGTGGTAATTGCCACTTAGTTCAGAACATGAGTGAGTTTTTCCAAGGTCAGGATACTGCCATGTGGTAAATGGGAAGGAGCTACACTGTCTCTGGGTAAATAAAAGTCAGAGGTCCTTTTGGAGGTGTGCGTGGGTGGGTGTAAGGCCACCTGTGTGCTGTTAAGACCACTGGTGGTCTGACCTGGGTGACAACCCTTTTAAGAAGTCGAGATTCAGGGACTAATTTTTTCTTATTATTTTATTTTTTGATATAAAGGCCATTTAGTGATAGAAATATTTAAAAAATTATATTGTTTAGCAACAGGATGTCACATTTCTTGGGAAGAGGAAAGTGATCTGCTTTAAGAAAAACTTGCAACTGTGTACAAGATTTCATTTCAACACATTTTCCCCATCAGCTTAAGCATTTATCCTTTGAGTTATAAACAATCCAATTACACACTTTATTTTTAAATGTACAATTAAATTATTATTGACTATAGTCATGCTATTGTGCTATCAAATAGTGGGTCTTATTCATTCTTTCTAACTATATTTTTTGTACCCATTAGCCATCCCCTCTCCCTCCCCTCCCTGTCCCCCTACTGCCCTTCCCAGCCTCTGGTAACCATCCTTCTACTCTCTACCTCCATGAGTTCAATTGTTTTGATTTTTAGATCCCACAAATAAGTGAGAACATGCACTGTTTCTCTTTCTGCACCTGGTTTATTTCACTTAACATGTTGTTGTAAATGATAGGATCTCGTTCTTTTTTATGGCTATAGTAGTATAAATTTTTTTAGCTTTACATCTTCTGTTTGTACCTTTCGAGGTCATAAGTCAGCGTTCTCTCATATTCTACATAATTTAGAAGGCTATATTTCAGAATTTACTTTGTTTTAATTGAACTTTTTATTTTGAAGTCATAGATTCACATGCAGTTGTAAGAAGTTATAGAAATCTATGTCATTGGTAACATCTTACAGAACTATATAGTACACTATTATGACCAGGATATTGATATTGATATGATCCCCGAATCTTACTCATTTTCCCAGTTTTACTAATACTTGTGTGTATATTTTGCTCTTTGTAATTTTTTTTTTTTTTTTGAGATGGAGTCTTGCTCTGTCGCCCAGGCTGGAGTGCAATGGTGCGATCTCAGCTCACTGCAACCTCTGTCTGCGGGGTTTAAGTGACCCTCCCACCAGTGTAGCTGGGACCACAGGTGCATGCCACCATGCCTGACTAATTTTTATATTTTTTGTAGAGACCAGGTTTCACCATGTTGCCCAGGCTAATATCGA